ACACCCATACCTCTACAACCAAACCAACACCCACACCAAGGTGTTCCATTCAAACACACTGAGACAAGGTAAGCCTTTCAACTGGGCTTCACACACACCGCCCCACACACACTTAGATAGGCCTCGTAATATACATTGATATATTTCTTTAAGCTCGGCTACACAAACACACACACACACACACACACACACACCTATGGGCTCGTTTAACAAGCTTTGTGTTAACACGCAATCAAGCCCAAGAAAAGCTTATATATATTCCAATGTTACTCTCTTAAGAACCACCACCACAACAAAACGCAATACACCACACCAATTTAGAGAGAGAGAGAGAGAGAAAGCTGAGAAAGCTAAGAAAGATGAGCCAGCCAGCTAGTGTAATTCCAGCACCGAAAACATCAGTGAAGGGGAAGATGGTGCAAACAGTAACTTCTGCCATTAAGAAGATCAAAGATAAGAAGAAGATAAATCCTAATTAGTGGTTCAAATTAAGAAGGGAGAATGCTATTGACCCTAAATGATTTACCAAATTTTTTACCAAACTTTTTATATGGGTGTGGGATCCATACAAACCCACATGTGTGAATCTCATACCCATGTAAGAGGTTTAGTAAAAAATTTAGTAAATCATTTGGGTCTCTAGCATAACCCATTAAGAAGATAGTTCAAATTATGTAACCACTTTAGGAATTAGGCGATGTCAGTGATTGATAATATGGTATATTTATGTCTACATTATTATGTATATCTATGTTTGTTTTAATATTTGATCAATAAATAAAATATATGATTCTCTATGGTTCATTTACACCTACATGTTTATCAATTCTATTATACAAAGCATAGATTTTATTTAATGCGATTGATATTTTTTCGTTTTCTTTTTCTTTTTCTTTAAGAATGTCCTTCACATTTAATAACTGCCACATTCAACAATTGCAAACCAATTTTTTTTTTTAATTTATCAAACTGTTCAAAAATTTAAATTTCAGATTTGCACCCATTTTCTTTGTATAATGTGTTTGTCTTACATCAATAAATTTATCTTTGTTGATCAAACAAAAATAATACTCCAGTAAAACCTGTTTGGATTAAGGGGTTTGGTGATTAAAAAAGAAAAAAGAAGTAAAAAAATCTTTTATCACTTGTTTGGATGATTAAGCAGATGAAAAATGGTAAGAAAAAGAAAAAAAAAAAAAAAAAAAAAAAAAAAAAAAAAAAAAGATTTAAGGGTTAAGACTTCTCTCAAATTTTGAATTTGACCGTCATATTTTGACTTGTGGGACTCACAACGAGTACCGTTTTAATGATTCAAACAGTTCATTTGTAAGGTCATCAATGTATCTCATCCATGAAAAAAATTAAATCTACTTGATTATCATATCTTTTTAATATATTACGTTTGTCTCTAAAAAAATGAATAAATATATTTTTGAAAATAAACTATTCATTTTATATTTTTTTCTCTCTTTTGTTTTTTCGTAGTGATGATACGAAGAAATAATTATCTCCACAAAAGGCCACAGGTATGTATCACAATTTTTTTCTTTGCATATTCCATGTTGGTTGCCATGAAGGTGCGTTAACCTAAAATAAAAGAGACATAATGATCAAAAGCCATTAACCAATGTGTCACACTTTCAATTGACATTATATAAATTAAAAATCGATGTTGGTAAGGTATATAAGTTTTCATTTCCTTGAATTAAGCTATTTGTTTATATTCAGTTAAAAATTATATAAAAATATGTATATTATATATAAAATAAATATAAAATGATATAAAAAGTTTTAATACTATTCTGTTAAAGTAAAAGATTGATTAAGATAGTTTATATTTTTAAAAGTATAACATTCATTATTAGTTCTATATAAGAATTCCATAAAATTTTCATTTTTCTTATTTAAAATTGAGTCAACAAAAACACCCACACACACTCCTACACCCACCCACGGTTGATTTCCTTGACTGTACCGACAACTTTTTTTCTACTCTAGGGTGGATTTCTAGGGTGGATTTTTATCTTTATTCTCGTCGTTGGGTAAACCAGTTTTAGCAATACTGTTTTTCAGAGAAATGACTTTTGAAAAGCCTTGTTTCGTGATTAAAATAATAATAAAATTTAAATACAGAAAACTAGAAAACTAGCTTTGGAAAAGTCTGTTTTAATTAAATTTTAATTAATTCTAAATTAATTAAATATGATTTTGGTAAAACTGTTTTTACACTAATATTTTTTTAATTTATATTTTCAACATAAATATTTTTTGACCAAAAAAATTTTAAATACAAAAAGGATTTTGCTCAACACAACAAAAATTTTTGTTTGGTACAGGCTGTCATGGTATTCAATATTCTTTATGGAAAAATTTAGAGACTGTTGGCCTGTGCTCTGCTACTCTCCCTCTCTCTCTCTTGTCAATCTAGCAAAGTGTGTGGCATTATGGCATTACAGGGCCACAAACCTTGAGAAACGAAGTGTTGGGGATAGTAGGTGACTGATACTCGCTTACAATTACAGGGATTGTTTTGAAGTAACACAATCCAGACCCATCCGACAACAATGTCGATCCAACGTGTTATAATAGTTGAAAGAAATATGAAAAATGTGTATGTATATTATATTGAATGAATTAAATACAATATAAGAACCTGTATTTATAAGCACAAACCTAAATAAGTATAGAAGGAGATAGAGATAGAGAGAGATAAAGATACAAAGGAGATAGAGAGACAGAGATAAGTTATATTTATAATACAAGGATATAAGTATAAATCTAAATCTAATATATACATTAACAGCCCCCTCAAACTCAAGATGGGTAAGCATCAACCAACTTGAGTTTAGAAACTAGATCATTGAAACGACTAGGAGGATGAGCCTTGATGAAAATATCAATAGGTTGATCAGCAGAAGAAATAGAGAGAAGATGAACAGTGCCACCTGTAACATGCTGTCGAATGAAATGACAATCAATCTCAATATGTTTGGTGCGATCATGGAAGACATCATTGTGAGCAATCTGAATGGCACTTTGATTGTCACAATAGAGAGATGTGGCACCAGGGAAAGAAACACACATATTAGCAAGGAGCCAGTGAAGCCATAAAAATTCCTGAGTAATGTCAGCAAGAGTGTGGTATTCAGCTTTAGTACTAGAGCGAGCAATGAGGGACTGTTTCTTGCTGCACCAAGTAAGAAGAGAATCTTCTAAGAAGAAAAAGAAACCCGTGGTGAAGCGTCAATCAGTAGGATCCCTAGCCCAATCAGCATAAAAAAAGGCACGAAACTCGAGAGAATAGTGAGTAGAGTAATGGAGTCCATGGAACATAGTGCTTTTGAGATAGCAAAGTATACGAAGTAGAGCAGTGTAATGCCGGGTGTGAGGAGCCGACATGTACTGACTAACAAGATGGACAGCATAGGAAATGTCAGGACGAGTCACAGTGAGATAGACAAGACTACCGACCAGTTGGCGATAAAAAGTAGCATCAAAGAGAAGATCCCCATCTAGAGGAATGAGACGAGTCTGTGGATCAACAAGAGTAGAGGTAGTCTTGCAATCAGTAAGACCAGCACGTGCTAGAAGATCGGATGCATATTTGGCTTGTGACAAATAATAACCAGTGGAATCATGAGAGATTTCAAACCCTAAGAAATAATTAAGAGTGCCAAGGTCCTTCATCTCAAACTGATGATTGAGAAATTGCTTGAGGCTAAGAATACCAGCCATATCATCATCGGTGATAATCATATCATCCACGTAAAGAAAAAGAAGAGTGGTGCCATGAGGAGTGGTCCGAACAAATAGAGCGGAGTCATATGAGTTGGAGGTGAAGCCGAAGTCATAGATGGTGGAACTAAATTTTGCAAACCAAGCTCGTGGGGCTTGCTTGAGACCATAGAGAGCACGTTGTAGTTTGCAAGCCTTATGAGCCGGATAAGCAAACCCAAGTGGAGGTTGCATGTAGACTTCCTCAAGAAGATCACCATTAAGGAAGGCATTTTTGACATCCATCTGAAAGAGATCCCAATGGCGAGCAGCGGCAACAGCAAGTAAGCTACGCACAGAGGTAAGCTGAGCAACTAGAGCGAAAGTCTCCTCATAATCAATGCCATATTCCCGGGTGAAGCCCTTTGCAATAAGACGAGTTTTGTAGAATGGGTCTTGATTTTGTATACCCATCTGTAGCCAATCGCAAACTTTCTAGGAAGAAGATCAATAACATCCCAGGCAATGTTTTGAAACCCGGACCGGTGAGCGAACTAGAAAAGTTACCGGATAGACGAGTCACCGATTCAACCGTCGGGTCGAAGAGGTCGAACCGTGACGTCATAATTACGTCATAAATATATTTAATATATATATTAAAAATATAAATGTAAAAATTAAAAAAAAAAAATTTAATTCAACAAAATAATAGAATTTTCAAATATCACTCATAATAAAATTGTAATTTGCAATAATAATGTGACATACCTTATTTTTATTTGTTGAAGACCTTTCTCTAAATGGGTTGCGCAACCTTTTGACAAGCAAAAATCACTGCACAATCTACACATATATCAAAGTTAGAAAATAGAACATAGTCTAAATCATAATAATGAAAGTAATAAAAGCATTATATTAAAAGCAATTAAGATTACCTATTTGTCAAATAAAACACAAACATAATCAAATAAAAATACTTTAGTTTTATTACATCAATTAAGAGTCAAATTTCAAACACAAACATAAACCAAGCAAGCATAGAGATAAGATCTATAATTCCAAGTCTTAAAACACAATAATGAGCATCTATCCTTTCTAAATGAAAGTAGACAAATACATATAAAATAAAAATAAAAAAAGTTCAAAACCAATCCACTACAAACACATCATGCCACAAAAACATTGTTTTTTTTTGCCTAATTCCTTGGCAAGCCCTCCATTAGCCAAGCATCGTCATCCTTATTTTCATTGTTGCTTGTGCCAACTCCACCACTTTGAGCATTAGATCAATCATCCATGTTGACATCACCAAATGATCCAAGGTCAATATCATCTCCAACCTCTAAGACCACATCCTCTCCGTTATCTTCTACAATAGTTACGACAAAATCAATAAGTAATCAATTTAATAATAACAAAAGCATTGTTATATAATAATGAAATAATTAATTACTATCCATCACGTAGACCATGACATTGCCTCTTATTTTGTGGAGCCGAACTTTCTGGATAAAGCATTTGTTCCAACTCATCAAAATCAAGAAGAGGAGGCTCTTCTTCATCTTCAACAATCCAAAACTCCGTTTTGTCAATACTTTCAATGTCAACCGGATCATAGTTCTTCATGTTGTTGAAATGTCTATAATTTTCACTTAGAAGTAAGATTACTTGAATAAATATTCTATTACTAAATGTATGACAACGTAAATGGTTCATTTACCTATTCTTCAATCGCAAATTATAATGAATGTATACAAGATCATTAAGTCTTTGATGTTCCAATCTATTCCTCTTCTTCGTATGAATACGTTAAAAAACACTCCAGTTCCCGGGTCGGGCCTGCCCTGGGCCGCTGGCCAATTTTATACTCTTATCAATGTGAATGTTAACATGTCAATATGAATATTTACATTGTTAACAGGCTGGGCCGGGCTCGTCCTGGGCCGCCCACGGGCCGTGGGCTGGTTTCGGGCAGCCATAAGGCGCGGGCTAATTTTACACTCCTATCAATGTGTATGTTAACATATCAATGTGAATATTCACATTGTCAACGGACCGGGCCGGGCCCGCCCCCAGCCGCGAGCGGGCTTTTGGCCGCCCATGGGCCGTGGACCAATTTTATATTCTTATCAATATGAATATTAATATGTCAATGTGAATATTCACATTGTCAACGGGCCGGACCGGGCCCGCCCATGGGCCGCGGGCGGGTTTCGCGCCGCCACGGGACGTGGGCCAATTATACATACCCTCATATGCATATCCCATTGAAGGTTTTTTATCTCCATCAACAATACGCAACAATCTCATGAGTGGCTCAACAATCTTAACAATGGTCAAGTAATCATTTGAAAAATTACTATCTAAAATGATAGCAACAACTTCTTTTTCTTTCTTATCTTTTGCATGCCTTGAATCGACAAAATCCTTACTTGTCACTAAGGCTTTCAAATCATGCATATGCTTTTGAATACTAAGCAATGCAATGAAAGTAGTGGCAAAACAGGTTGCTCCTGGGCGCACAATTTCAGTCCATCCTTTCCTTTTCCTCAACCAAGCTATCAACCATGGGCGATTGTAAATAAATCTTGTCACACTTGATGCTCTAGACGCAAACTCTTTCACATGATTCAACTTGGAAATATCACTTAACACTAAGTTCAAACAATGTACTGCACAAGGAGACCAATTACTATTCTTGTAAGTTTCACTAACAAGCCTTCCAGCAGCAACATAATTTGCCCCATTATCTATCACCATGTGCACAATATTGCTTGCTCCCACCCACTCAATAATTTCTTCAAACAATTTAAAAAGAAGAGGAGCATCTTTTACAACATCAGAGGCATCAACAGACTTAACAAAAGTGATTCCTCTAGGACAATAAACAAGAAAATTAATGAGAGTTCTATGTCTACCATCAGCCCAACCATCACCCATAATTGTACACCCAGAATCAGCCCAAGTACTCTTTACAGAGTCAATAAACAACTGAAGCTCTTTCTTTGAGTCACTCAATAAAGGAACTCGAACTTCATGGTAGGTAGGAACTTTAAATCCTGGACCAATGGCGATTGCAGAATCAAACATGGGCTGAAAGTATATGGAATTGACAACATTCATTGAAACACATTGTGGACATCCCCGAACGCCCCCTGAGGATGAGTTCCGTTCTGTTCATATTGGGTTCACTACAGTTCAGGACTCTCAAATTGTCACGATTCTTAACCTGAACCAAAGAGTCCAAATCCGGCAAATCGTTTTGGAAAATAGATTTTTAGAAAAGAAGTGCCAAACATGGACTGCTTTGCCAGATACAGAGTCGCCAACTAAATATTTTATTTTGGGAAATTTAGGAAACCCTGACTCGGTGCCAAAGGCCACGTGTCCGTCATCACCAAAGTTGTCTCGGCTCGGGAACTTGGGTACGATTGGGAAACGTCAGCTATGAGCACCCTTTCTCGCCCGATCAAAGATCGGCATCTACTAACCGTGATATCTTGTTTTGAAAGCATTATGTGTTCCTATTCCAGTTATTAGCCTAAAATTACTATGTTATGTGCACAGCAAACAAGTATAGACCAAATCGCCTAATTTGGAACAAACCATTGCATGCTTGTTTTGAAAATGGTTTGCTACTCATAAGTAGGCTAAAATACAGGTTTTGCCACCCTCAGGTGGGCTTAGAAAACATGATTTTGCCGCCATCTAGTGGGCTTAAAACTCACAGTTTTAGTGCATTATTCCAATTTAGGTAATTTAACCTCCATCCGCAGGCATTCAAGCAGTTATATCACACAAGCAAATAGCCTCATGGTAAGCATGCTGTCATGGCAATACTCACACGCATGCAAAGATGCTAAAACATAAGAACTTACCGAATACTCCGAGCCAAAATGGAAACTAGTTAATAATCACATGCATGATCCTAGTTCATGTTAAGATGGCTAATGCAACACATGCAAGATGCAACTACAATAGGCTCGGCTATTCTAAGATGACATATGATAATGCTACAACTAACACGTATTCAACTTAGAATTGAAATACAATGCAGTTAGTATGATGTGCCGAGCCCGGTGCATGCAAGGCAAATGAATAGATGCAAACATGCTATCATACTGTATGCTAATTGAAACATCCCCTAGACTAACCAACGAAAGCTAGTAAATAAAAGGGAAGAAAGACGTGGGGTTGGGAGACATACACACACTCACGCACATTTATTACACAATTGCCCTTACTCGGAGGGTCTGAATAAATATTACACAACCAAATTAATTATTACAGAATTCCTGACTAATTAACAAATTAAATGCAGAAGAAAGGTGGCCGCAACCCTTCCTCGAAATGTGTGAATGATGCATGCTTGACTCGTCTCGCCCGGAAACTCGCTGCCATAGCACTGCTGCCTCTGTTTTCACTGCCTTGCTCCTCTGAAAATTCTGAAAGTCTTTATACCCCTTTTGGATAATCCTCTGAGTGCTCTGGGATGTCACCGGCCAGAATTAAAGTTCACCGGCCATGGTAATGGGATTATCGGCCAACTTTTGTACCACCGGCCAGCCACTGATAGTCGGTCGGCACTGTAGGTGGCCGGCCGGCCATTGCTTCCTGCAGAATATTGCAGTTGACAGTAGCAGAGGGCAAGCAATGTGTGGCATGGAGTTTTCAAGCAAATGTGAGCATGGCCACACTCCCTATCATGCAATGGACTCAAGGGAGCATGGCCCTCGACCCTCGGACCATCAACTACGCAATTCGAGGCATGATGGCCTAAGAAGCCATGTTAGCAACTTAATGTAGATGCATGCAACAAACAAATGAGTGCTAACACCCTATCATGTTGAGATCGAGGGTATTGGCGACCGAGGGTTGAGACGTGTTTCGTCACTTCGGGTACGAACACACCTCTCCCCTCATGCTTGGTTTGACACCCCAAACTAAGAGATGCAATGCATGTATGCCATATACAATGCAAATTGATGCAACTCATATAAGGCTACACTAATGCAATATGAACATGTCAAGCATACAACAAGACTATATAATGCAATTCAGCTAAGTAACGTGCAAATATGCGAACATGATGCAATGTAGGCATGCAACCAATGCAATGCAACATGTCAAGCATGCAAAGTGTGCAAGGATGGGCTCATACTGAAATAAGAAGGCCTCAGCCCACCCTAAAACAGTGGCCAAAAGAGTCAAAAAAATGCACAACTTATGCATGCAAGCATACACACACCAAGGCCTATCACCTAAGCCTGAAAGGGGATAACTCTAAGCATACTTAAGGGCAATATGTTTGGACATTAAACACTCATGCTAAACTCTGAGAAGTATGCAAAAGATGACACCAAGATATGCTAGGGAATAGATGCAAAATAGAAGGTATTCAAGGCCACAAAAGAGAGCATTGCTCAACACCTACCCCAAGCAAACATGGTATGAGCTAAGCAACCCAAAATAGAGTTTTTATGCATCAAAATATGCCCCAAAACCCACTGATATGGCAGCCCAAATGACTTAAACAAAGAGGCATGCACACAAGCCCAAACATGGAGCATAAAACCACAACTCTTCAAGGCATTAAAAGGGTAAAAAATGCAAGCATGTAGGCATAAAACATGAACTGAAATGGCATGACAAACGATTCCAAATCACTGAAATAGACCAAATGAGGCATGCTAACAACTCACACACCCGAAGCCAACAAGTTAGAATACAAAGAGACTATACAAAGCATGGCAAGCATGGCTCCAAAGACTCAAGACAGACCTTAAGCATGTTAGAACATGACCAAAAACTTTACAAAGCTAAGCCAAAGCATGCAAACATGATGGTCCAAAGTCAAGATGTATTTCTAGGCAAAATGGAGGAATACAAGGCAAGTGTATTATGCATGCAAGAGGTCAACAAACCGACATGGGACAGAGGTAAAACATGCTAAATAAACACCAAATAACCTCTGAGATGAAGCCAAACAAAACTAGGCATACATGCTACCCTTATGAGCGAAAAATGCAAACAAAAGAGAGACAAAGGGAGAGGGGTGTCCCTCCCCTATGCAAGACCTCAAACCCTCTTCATCACCACTGAAAATCCACTAGATTTCAATGGTGAGAAGGCCAAAGCACAATAGTATTCAAAGCTTAACAAAGAGAGCACAAAAAGAGCCAAACAAGGCCTAAGAGGGGGAGGTCGACCCCAAACAACAAAAAAACCTTAATGAAGTATCTTAAGCATGCAAATACAAGACTTTTTTTAGTTATACATAAAGTCTAAATCAGTAAGCAAGATAGGTCAAAAGCTAATGCAAGATTGGGGAATCTAAAGCAAAAGTGTTACCCTTGAAGAACACCTCAAGAACAGCAAGTCCAGCCACCTTCTTCTGATCAAAACTAGCTCAAAACCTCAAGAATAAACCCTCAAGACCTCCCAAGTCGAAGTATGGTGTAATGGTGTGTGTCTTAGTGCAAAACTAAGAAGAAAACACACCTGTAGGCTCTCAAACCCACATAAATGAAGAGAGATAGGCAGATATAGAGAGAGAAAGTGTATATCAGATATATATATGTATTTTTCTCTGGTTTTTGCTGAACCTCACAAAGGAGAGGGTTGGGGCTCTTTTATAGACAATGCAAAGACTAAGCTTCCAAGGGAAGCTATTCAAAAGGGATCAAGTCTTTCTAAAGAAGCCAAGACAAAGGGGCCAAGTCTTCCTTAGGAAGCTGGGACAGGTGTCCAAGATTCTTAAGGAAGCTAAGACAAAGGTCCAAGCTTCCTCAAGAAGCTAGACCAAAAAGGTGCAAAAGAGGCAAAACAGCCACAGATGTGCACGGGGGCAGGGTTTGTGCATTCCAGCTGGCACAATTGGCATACACCATGCCTGAAAAAGGCAAAAAAGTGGTACCGGCCAGAAAAGGAGGCTATCGGCCAAACAGGTGGTCGGCCGGCCACACAAAGTGTCGACCGGCCAATGGTATATTTCACCAATGGCCGATAGCCTCAAAACATGGCCGGTGGCCTTAAGCCATGGCCGGTGGGTATCAGGGATAGCTAGCAAGCTACTCTCTACCCTCAGGTGCAAAAACAAATAAGTCCTTGGGGTAAAACCAAGCACAAAACAAGCAAGTCAAGAGATCCTGAGGCAAGGCGCGTAGCCAAGACCTCCGGGAACTCAAAACAAACACAAACATGGATGATCGCCGAGTGTTTAAGCGGTGACGTCCAAGTCTTGAGGACGGTCAAAAATGGGGTGTCTACACACATGTATCATTCAAAAATTTTGCCACAATCATATGTGCCCTATGTACAGCTTCTTTAGTTGCAAGGGCACTTTTGATAGTTGGTTGAGAGCCTGGAGTGGTCCTTGGTGCAAAAAAATTTTCAATTTTTGCAGGGTCCTTTCCTTTTCCTCTTTGTGTCACTGCTGCCTTACTTTTATTCCTACTACCACCACCTTCATTAATTAAGATGCCCTTATTGCGTTGTGGAATTATTTCTTCAATTTCAGCATCATCCTCATATTCGAAAACTGGGAATGGCAACGGGGCAGGGCGGGGCCGGGGATCGCACTCCCCGTCCCCGATCCCCGAAGCTACAAAACTCCCCGTCCCCGATCCCCGACGGGGAACCCATCACCCCCCCACCCCCGTACGGGGATTGGGTTTCCCTAGCTCTCGGGTCCCCGTCGGGCCGGGTTCAAATTGCCATCCCTATCGAAAACAGCCCGACCAAAGGGATTAGGTTCCTCACTTCGTTTATTTTTCTCAATAATTGCTTTAAAAGCCTTTTCCATTCGATACCTAACATCACCTGGAACTTTCTAACATGGCCCAACCTCACCAAACTTTCCTGCAAGATGTTGCTTCATTCTATTAATCCCTCCACCTTTGATAGTCTTCCCACAATACAAACATGTTAAAGTTTTCTCCCCATCGGGAACTCGCCCCTCAGTTACATAGTCCCATGCTGGATCAGATTTACATCTTGTTGATGATGGGGTATTAGAGTGTGCAGTTGAATTATGGCCAGATGAATCCATTTCACCTAAAACAGCGCTATATAATATTTGAAATACAATAATTAAGTCAAGAATCACATAAACCAATTACAGAAGTCATTCCCAATATTATTCAATTGATTGTATGAAGATAGCACTCAATTGTGATTTTTTGTTCTAATTTATGTTCTTACATAATTAAATTCAAAGAATACCCTCTGCTAAAAATTCTAAATGTATATAGCATCTCCAATTTCAAGTTCCCAGTATGTAAATTCTGAATGTACATAAAAATTCTGAATGTGTATAGCATCTCCAATTCCCAATATTATTCTGGATTTCTAAATTCTGAATGTATATAGCATCTCCAATTTCAAGTTCTGATTTTTACATCACATTGAACAACCCTCTGCTAAAAAGAAAAAGTTAGTTTATCTTAGTTTATCAAAAGTTAGTTTACATCACATTGAACAACCCTCTGCCTTTTGTAACAGTTAATGGTTAATTGTGTTTGAATGTTTATACTAATCCCATTAAATAATTCAAGCATAAATAACCCTCTGAATGTAGAGCCAAATCTGTTAAAGAATTCAACCATAATTTTAACATTCAAATTCTTATAATTTATAATTTATTATTACCCTACGTTTTTTATATTCTTTCAAATTTTTTTTGTTATGTATTATTATTAAAATTAAATTAGGAGAAATACAACTGAATCAAATAAATTTGCAATAACGAGAGTATTCAACATCAACAACAGTACATAACATTTATGGTCTCATTCTCATATATATTCTCATATTCTCATATATACTCTCATATCCAGAAAATAAAATTTCAATTGCAACAAACAAAGAAGAAGAGATATATATATAAAAATGATAATAATAATTTGCAGTAGCACTGTAGCAAGCAGAGGTCTCACTCGCACCAAAAAAAAAATCAATTTCGCAGTAGCAGACTAAGCAGAGGTCTCTGATCTGATATATATATATATATATAAAACCAGCGGGAAAAGAGAAAAAGGGAAGAGCAGAGCAGTAAAAGAGGAAGAGAAGGGGGAAAGAAAGAGAATACTTACCAACGAAGCAGTAGCAGAGGTGAGCCGAAGAAAATCTGATGCAACCCGTTGGATCTGTGTCCTCCATTCATCACCAAAATTTCGCAGAGAGTGAGTGAGATTTCAGGCCAAAACCAACGAGCACCCTTTTTGAGAGAGAGATGAGCCGAAGAAAATCTGGTGCAACCCTAGAATTTGGGTTTTTTTAGTGTTATATATAACTTCAATCAACCCGGTGATGCAACCCGCTGGATTTGTGTCCTCCATTCATCACCAAAATTTCGCAGAGAGTGAGTGAGATTTCAGGCCAAAACCAACGAGCACCCTTTTTGAGAGAGAGATGAGCCGAAGAAAATCTGATGCAACCCTAGAATTTGGGTTTTTTTAGTGTTATATATAACTTCAATCAACCCGGCCGGTTCCTTAAAACCCGTCCGGGTCGCCGATTTTTCCAGTTGAATCGGCAGGCCATCCGGTTTTCTTGTTTATGAATGGTTTTGAGCCACCTCCGGGTTTGCTGGGCTGTTCGGACAGGAACCAGGTCCGGCTCCCGGTTTGACCGGTCCGGTCCGGGTTTAAAAACCTTGATCCCAGGTATGAGTCTTGTCTAAAGCCTGTAATTCATCAGTCATAGCTTGCTGCCAAAGAGGATTAGTACAAGCTTCACAATAAGAGATAGGTTCATAAGTAGAAACGATAGTAGACCCGACAATATAATCATGAAGATGTACAGGTGGTTAAGTTACCCAATGTGGACGACCGGTGGGTGGAGGATCTGGTAGGGTGATAGGAGATGCAACGGGACCATTCCAACCTTCATAGCCACCACCTTTAAGAGCATCTCTAACAATGAATCATTTACTTCACCAAATTTGAGTAAAAACTCCATCTAATATCCACCACTCCAACGGAGCAATTTTGGCTGTCATTAACAAAAGGTTGACTGGGGGGACGACCGGTCGGATGTTCGATCAGTTGACCGGCAAGGGCAATCCACCAGTTCTGAAAATTATTTTTCCCTCCATTTTTGTTTCCCTCAATTCCTTTGCTATTTGTTTTTCCCTGCATTAATTATTTTCCATTTCTTTTTGTCTCCATTAATTATTTCCCTTAAAAAATATATATATATAAACAGATTAAACCAAGTAAATACACCCAGCAAACAACGTTGTATTTGGAACAAACCCATCACTGAAAAACAGAGCATAATGACTTTTTCAACTTCTTATTTGTTCACTGATTTTTCATCCTCATCTTCTTCTTCATCCTCTGATGATGAAAATGATGATGCAAAAATTGTTTCACTTGTGGGTCTTTATGAGATAAATAATACTAATATGATACAAATACTGACAAGAAGTGATCAACCAGAGAAAAAAGGTGGCTCTGTTGTAGGACATAAGTACATACGTCGCGAAAGAATAAAGGGTCATGATCGATTGGTTGCGGATTATTTTGCTGTAAATCCAGTTTATTCATCTTCAACATTTCAAAGACGTTTTAGAATGCATCATGATCAGTATCTGCGACTTTTGTATGCCATTGAAACACATGACACATATTTTGTTTACAAAAAAAGATGCTGCTCATATTCTCTAATTGTCTTCACTTCAAAAGATGACTTCAGCAATTAGAATGCTTGCATATGGAGTGGTAGCAGATGCGATTGATGATTATGTGCGAATTTGGAAAGCACGACAATTGAAAGTTTGAAACACTTTTGCAATTCAATTATTGAAATCTTTGGGCCTTAATATTTTAGATCTCTATCACCAAGTGATATTGCCTAATTACTTGCTATTAGGGAGGTTCGTGGGTTTTTGGGTATGTTGGGAAGTTTAAATTGCATGCATTAGGAGTGGAAAAATTGTCCGATGACATGGCAAGGTCAATATGTAGGCCATCAGAAAAAGCCAACTATAATTCTTGAAGCAGTAGCTTCTTATGACTTGCGGATTTGGCATGCATTTTTTGGAATGCTTGGATCACACAATGACTTGAATGTCTTGGATCGTTCGCCCTTATTTTCTAATCTTGCCTAAGGGAAAGCTCCACCTACTAATTTCACAATTAATGGACAAACTTATAATATGGGTTATTACGTTGCTAATGGTATATACCCTCCATGGGCAACACTAGCGCAAACAATCTCTTCTCTCCAAGGAGCAAAGAAGCAACATTTTTCCTATGATGCAAGAGTCAGCAAGGAAGGATGTAGAGCGGGCATTCGGAGTGCTCCAATCCCAATTGTAGGTGGTCCAGTACGTTTTTGGGATCCCAAAATCCTTAGTAACATAATGAAGACTTACAGTATATTGCATAATATGATTATCGAAGATGAGAGAGACTCCTATCTTTATTTGGATTATGAAATATCATCAAGCACCTCAGCAGTAGTACTGTCTACTACCAATAACAATGAATTTGAATCGTTTATGTCCCGTCATTTAGGTATTAGAGATAAGAATACATATCATGCCCTCCGTAATGATTTAATTAAACATATGTGGCAACTTCATGGTGAAAAGTAACTTGACCATGTGGACAAGATGATGAACTATATGTTGGCTTTTTTTATTAGGAGGTGTTTAGGGTGGTTGATTTGTCAGTGTTTATTGTTGTTATGGTAGTAAAGATGGTCTTACACCTGTACACATATATCAATTTTGTAACTAAATGCATGAAATGAATATATAATGTTTTCAGATATGGTCTTATCTTATTCTAGATGATTATTGGATTTCATTATTTTACTGAATTTTTCGCAATTGACATTTTACCACTAGCTGACTTTTATTTGTAATGCATAACAGTTGACTTTGCATCACCAATTTAATTATAGGAACAAGTTAATTACCGAAATTTTATTTAAAGAAATTATACTTTGTATCTAAAGTATTATTGGTCCTTCAATAATACTCAAAATCCACTTTACTGTCAATATACAATTTACTGATTTAAAATGACACTGACCTTTTCATTTATATGATGATAATAGGGTGTAATTTGTTTACACTCTACAAAACTATTATTTGTTATTACTTTGATCTTGAAAATAACACATTTTTTCATTGTGGGCCATTGGTTCATAGCCAAAAAAAAAAAAAAAAACTACTGTCAAATAGTTACCATCTCCAAATTACAATTTGATAGTAGTTGATGTTATTTTCTTTTATGGGTTTTTTTTTAATCTTTTTGAATTTTTATTTGAACGTACATTAGTTATGCATTTTGAAGTTGATAAGAACATCAATGTATGCATTGTCATGTTCTGCAAACCTCAAAACATTGAATTTGCATTGAGAAGGCTCAAAACCATTCAAGGCCACACCTACCTTATTCATGATGAGCCACCTCATTCAATATGTACGTCTACCTCATTGATTTTCATATACTGCCTCACTTATCTATAAAGCAACATCACTATGTCAGTATGTTTGTGGCGTGGACGAAAACAAGAAACAACACCACAATTGCAAACCAAAAGCAAAAAGTAGAACAAGAAGTTGCACATAGCCGGTAGACCAGAGGGACATCTGACAGGACGACCGGCTGATCAACCGGTGGCTTCACTCTCCACTTCACCTGTAGACATGCTCCACAGTTGAGGGTTCAGCCTTTCCATTTTGCTTACCTCTTCACACCATTTTGTAACTATTCTGTTCCTTAACATTTTTAGATAGTCATGCCTAGAACCAAAAGAGCAAGAAGCGAACTTGGACCATCCTTCAACCCTGTTCCACGTCAACAACTCCTCAACAACAATATCCAACTCAAAATTTTCTGACTTACAGTCATGAACAAGCCTTTCCAAACTTCTACAGCCGACTTATTATCATTGGTAAAAGGCTAAACCTTGCTCCTCAATACGATGCTCTATTTGTTACCAAACTTGAAACTATGGGGTGGATAAATTTGATCAATTTACCATAGAAGGTATATCCTTGTCTTGTTTCTCTTTTTTGTGTTCACTTTGAACGTATATTTGAAGATGATGGAGACTATACTATTAAATCTTATGTGAACGGTAAACACGTAGAATTTGACATCTCCACTTTGGCACAAATTATTGGAGTTAAGCAAGGGGAGATGTAAGTCTACTTTCACAATGAGTATGAAATAATTGATATTGTTGGCAGCATAACTAAAGTATATTCTACTATTTGTAAGAGTAGATTTACTGGAAGTAATTTGCAAGTAAGACATTTGAAACCCCACATTCGTATTCTCCACCAATACATAATAGAAAATTTCACTCCGAAAGGAGGACATTTTGATATCGGTCCAGTTTTTAATGCTTATTTGCTCTACTATTTTGAAGTTGGCCACAAATTGGATTTATGCTATATACTCATGAAAGAAATGGTGGTTGCAAATCTTAATATCAGTGGCTAGTCATTAGTTTTTAGAGCTTTGCCTATAAAAAATTTCAAAACTTTCAAGATCAGATTTGTAGGTGAAGCAGAAACAAAAATATCAGTTGCGATTTTAGAGTACACACGCACTCGAGCTGGCAGTGGTGATCTGTTATTGCAAAGTCTGAATGCATCAAATGCACCAACAGATGATCCCCAACACGATGAGAATGTCATGCCACCACCTCAACAACCTCAATACTAGACTGATTTTTTTTTCTATGGAACAAGAACGATACAATCAACGCGTTCAATGGGAACAAAACGTGGCGAATCAGTTTGATACATTTGGCACCGCTCAGAATGCATTAATTCAACAAATTGATGAGTTTCATATGGACACTGAAAGATGTCATAAACATGCAACCAATCGCATTGAGCAAATTGAGCACCGGGTAACTGACATCTACCATCACTACTTCCCTTCACCAACACCTGACACTGACCTTTGAAGTTATTGACGAAGAGACTAGATGTAGTTTCACTATGTGGTGTTTTTTTTATTTATTTTATGGATGTAATACTAGTTTGTGCTCTTTTTTTTTTCCCTGGATGTACTACGAGTGTGGCTTTTTTTTTTTTTTTTTTTTTTTAATGGTTGTACTATGAGTGTGTATGTGGTTTTTTTTTTAATGGATGTATTACGAGTGTGTGTGATTTTTTTTAAAATTTTTGTTGGATGTACTAGTACTATGTGGTTTTTAATTTTTGAATGGATGTACTATTTGTGAATGGTGAACTTCAAATGCGTCTTGACAACCCTTAAAAAAAATCTCCAACACTGTTGCAATAGATGACATTTTACAAGTGATACACACTGTTGCCTCACAAAAACACCATCGCTTGGAAAATAAAATAATAATAAATGTTTATTTTGCAAAACAGTTGTAATAAATAGCAATAGGAACCACAATAACTTACAATATGAAACAGGATTTTAAGACTCAATTGCAAAAAAATCTGAAAATAAAAAATCTACAATATGAAATAGGGCTTTAGGCCTCAATATCCTACAATGGCTTTAGGCCTCAATTGCAAAAACATATGAAAATTTCCATATATTATCATATGTCTCAAAATTTTCATGGCTAAATATTTTAAATAACTTCCTATATTTTATGCGAGAAGTTGTTGTCAGTAGTAACTCTTTTTCATCATTATTTATTTCTAAAATAAAACAAAAATTCAAGAATATATCCTTACTATGAGCAGATCAATAGTAAAATAAATTTCACATCATTACTATAAGAAGATCATGACTAAAACACTCAGAACATTCAATTACTAAAACAACAATAAATTAAACAAACAAATATGAAAACTGATATGAAACTAATTGAGCTCAAAAAAGCGGTCTTCATAAAACAGTCAAGCAAATCTATTTGTTGATCGAAATAAGATTTACCGTTGAAACTCTTCATAGTAGGACCTTTGCATATGATTTAAATTGGTCACATCCATTGACATTATTTTA